TGAGCATGGTAGCACCGACTTTCACACTATGCATCTCCTGAACTGGCTTTACAAAGCTTGAGAAGTCCTCATGGTAGGAATCCAGTCATGGCAAGCCTCAGAATCCATGGCAGAAGTTTCATGGACTGTGTGATTATATTCCTCATATGTGCAGGGAACTGGAAGTGGGTAGATATAGAGTTCCAGGGCATTCAGCACCTTGCAGAATGTCCAGAAATCTGACTTTGTTCTCTGCAATGAAGTTCTTCATTCTGATTATTTCCAGTGCTACTCATTCCATTGTTTAGATTCAGGTTTACACCGTGTGACATTTTCCTTCAGCTAAAGTACTTCCTTTAATGCTTCTTGTAGTAGAAGTTTGCTTGTGACAAATTCAGCTTTTGTTTGACTGAAAATGTTCTTATTTTGCCTTCATTTTTTAAAGATATTTCACTGGATATAGGATTCTAAGTTGTTCCCGATGAGAGCTCAGTGTTATTTCTTATCTGTCTCTTGTATAAATGTGTCTTTTTTTTTTTTTTTTTCCTGTGACTAGTTTTTAAATTTTCTCATCATTAGTTTTAAAAAAGTTGATTTTGATGTACTCTGATTTTGTGATTAGCCTGTTTGGGGTTGTTGAGCTCTTGGTTACATAAATTTATATTTTTATCTGTTTGAAATATTTTAGTCATTATTTTATCCTGTGTCTCTAACTACATGTATGTTAGACAGCTTAATAGTATCCAACAGCTCACTGACGCTGTGTTCATTTTTTAACCTTTTTTAATCTTTCTTGCTTTAGTTTGTGTATTTTCCATTGTCTTGTTTTCAGATTCATTGTCCTTCTGCACTATCTAGTGTACTGTGCACTCTATTAAACTTTTCATACGGGTTTGTTTTGTTTTGGTTTGGTTTGGTTTGGTTGGAGTCTCACTCCCATCACCCAGGCTGGAGTGCAGTGTCATATGTTGTTTTTAACCTGTAGAAGTTACATTTGGTTCTTTTTAATAGTTTCCTTTTTTTTCCTCTTTGTGTTCATTTTGTTCTTTAAATCTTTGGTCATTCTTATAGTAACTGTGATAAAAGTTCTTGCCTTTTAATTTCATCATTTCTATCATTTCTAGGTTTGTTTCTATTGGTTTTAGATCATACCTTCCTCTTCACCTCTTGATTGCATGATAAACACTGAAATATGTTATTTAATTTAGTATTTAGTTTTGTTGTCTTTCTTTAGGAAATATTGAGTCTTGTTCTGGAGGACCACTAATTGACATGTGAATCAGCCCAAAGTTTTGGAAGCTTATTTTTAAGTTTTGTCAGGGTAGATCTAGAGCAGTGGCAGTCCAGTCAGAGTTTCTGCTATGCTGGAGATGTTTTATATCTGCACTTTCCAATATAGTGGCCACAAGTCACATTTGGCTATTAAATACTTGAAATGTGGCTAGCGTAATTCAGAAACTGGGTTTTTTATTTTATGGTATTTAAATAATATGTAGCTAGTGGCTACCATATTGTACAGCACAGGTCTAGAATAAACTCTACTCCAGTGCCAGTTTAGCCCCAGGTGTTCAGTGAGGTCTCTCTGGCTGGTTAGAACTTGAATATCTCCGAGTCCAGTGAAAACTCCAGCAGTTGTTTGACTTACAGCTCCCAGTATTCTTTAGCAAAAAGCTGTCCTTCTGGTCTTGTCGAATCTCACCCTACACACGAACAGCTTGATATTCAGCTGAACACTCAAGTGGACTCCTATGCAGATTTCTAGAACTCTTTCTCTGTGTATTCTGGTACTCTGCCCAACATATCTCAATTTTCCCTGCCTCACTGAATAACTGTCTCTGTCTCCTCAGCTTAGTGAGACCACCATCCTCTGCTTAGGTTCCCCTACCCTATGCAGCAGCCCATAGGAAACTGAGATGATAGAGGGCTTGTCTTATTTGTTTCCCTTCCTCTCGGAGATTTCAATACTCCACTATCTGAAAAGCTGAATATATTTTTGTCCAATTTTCTAGATGATTTTTGGCAGGAGAACCAGTCTAGTACCAGTTATAGTACTATGTTGGCCTGAAACTAGTAGATTACATCTTAGTAACTTACACCTCTACCCATCTCAGAGAGAGAAGGGCAGAAGTTTATTATGTTTGCTTTGAATGAATGGAATAAAGAATCACTATTTTATAATCTACCTGTACCTTCTTCTGTTGTACTATCAATACCTAGCAGCCAGTTCTTTCCCAATCCTCAGAACAGCCCACTGAAGAAGACAATATTATCTCCATTTCACACATGCGGAAACTGAGACACAAGGTGGTTAAATAATATCCACAGGGTCACATAGCTAGTAAATGGCAAAACTAGGATTTTTGTGAAAATTGTAGGCCGGTAGGAAGGGTATACATATGAGTATTTGAGGTATAAATATCTGTATTTTCAGAGTTGCATGTAAACAAGATTCACACTTCTTAAGTCAATAGCAATGTTTGCTTACATTAGAACGTGAGAAAATCTGTAATTTGTATAGGTTTATCAACTAGTTCTAAGAGAACTCTAGATTACTCAAGGGGAACAAAGAGAAAGATCTTTCATTTGGCATCATTGTTTGTGTAAAGGCATAACCACCTTGTAGTACTTAGTTACTATCTTAGGAAACAATATTGTTATGAGTTTACTTTGTCCACATTTTCAGATAAAGATATAGACTCCAGGCACAGTGGCTCATGCTTGTGATCTCAGCACTTTGGGAGGCCAAGGCAGGAGAATTGCTTGAACCTGAGTTTGAGCCCAGCTGGGCAACATGGTGAGACCTGGTCTCTATAATAAATCAAAAAATTAGTGGGGCATGGCAGTGCGTGCCTATAGTCCCATCTACCCAAAAGGCTAAGGCAGGATTGCCTGAGCCCAATTGGTCGAAACTGTAGTGGCCATGAGCATGCCACTACACTCCAGCCTGGGTGACAGTGAGACTTCGACTAGAAAAAAGAGAGACAGCGAGAAAGTGGGGAGGGATCTGCGTGGGGAGAAAGAGAAAGAAGACAGAAAGAAACAGACTACAAAAAAGTTAAATGGCTTTCTTGGTGTCAGCTGGCAAAAGGTAGATTTGGGATCAGAACTTTGTGTCAAAGAATTTATCCATGTGGACGGTCATCACAATGATCACAATGTTATTCTTTTATTGAAGAAGTGAGATATTGGAAGCAACAATATGGGTAGTTAAGTAAATCATAATACAAGTGATAAGATATTACACAGCCATCTTTTTTAATGTTGAAGAAAAAATATTTATTAACAGGAAGACATGTCGTCGGTAAAATGACAAAAATTTATTTTAAAATACAAATATTTATGTGAAGAATATTTGTTTTTAAAATGCAAATATTTATGTGAAGAAAGACTTTCTTGCTCTTGGTTTATCCTTACACAAACACTGAAACATACTGTTAATTGGTAAACATATGGAGACTTAAGGTTATATTGTTTCAAGAAACTGTAAGGAAAAACACTTGCTTTATGGTAGTTTCTACTCTCAAGTAGAGTTTCTTAGGACATTATTTCTATTCGTCTTAAAGTCTACAGTTTCTATTTTCCTAACCTACCTACTTTAATTTTGTTAGTTCCAAATATTTACAAAACTGTGTTTCCTTTCATAAATGATTTATGCTCTGGTTTAAGTTTCCTGGAGGCCGGTAGCAGCGGTCTGCCTGATTAACAATTAGTTAAAAATAAAAAGGAAATTTTTTTTTCTAGGAAAAATTATAGTCTCCATATTTTTCAACTCTGACATTTTTAATGCATCTTTATGTGTAAAATAATTAACATATTCAGATTGGCCTTTCATTTGCCTAAGTACCCTATATAAGAAAGATTGCCTTGGAAGAGTAACGTTGAATAAAGAGAAAATATGTGAAGGCAGGAGAAAACAGATCTTTGCCCTCTATTTTCTTTTCATCAGAAACCATATGCATGCACCAGCTAGAAGACAGTGATAATAAAAGTGAAGTATATAAAGTAAGCATGGTCGCCACTTCAGGTGATGGGGCTGATCCTTTTAAGCCAAAACCGGGCATGCTTCGTACAACTTCTGAGTATCCTCGTGCTGCTTGAGGTTGATTACTACTACAAGTTTAACCTGGTCTCGAGCCCTTTATTCTGCTCCAAAGAATTAGCTTCCATGAAGACACAGACACTTGAAAAGCATGGAAACATGACAAAGTATTTTTGTCTACTTCCATTCTTTCCCAGTATGATACTAAAGATTTCCTTTGACATATATGATCACCTCCACATAAGAATTCTAGAGGGTGTGAGAAAGACAAACCCTGATTCCCCTACTTACTCTCACTTATAGCTATTGATCCAGAATGCATAGCCACTATGATTATTATTAAAGTAAGCTACTTATGGGGAATTGTTCTGTATTGTGAAAATTATAAGAAAATTTATAAATATTGTTCTTTCCTGCACATATTTTCTTTGAGGGGGAGTTTCATTAAATGGACTGCTCTTTACCTCTAAAAGGTCTATAACACTATAACCACAAAAATTTTTTCTTTCTTAAGTACAGGCCGTTATTTTAAATATTGGTGCTCACCTTTTTAAAGGACTATACAGTATCACTTGAAATTCACTTTAGAAGCAGAAAGATTGCATCATACATTTAGATGCCCAGATATTGCCCTGTGTCATTTTTTCAAATGTTGAAATTATAAAACAACTTCAGAAAACCTGTTTTTGTCAATGTTGTCAGATATTAGTCAGTTCCATAAACATTCTCATTTCATATTATAAATGATGTGGTGCTTCGATGCCTTTATATTATAACATAAAATCAGAACAGAACTGTTGAATTCATGTAACACTGTTATATAATCATATAGCTTTTCAAATTTATCCTATACATAGCCATATATTATTTAAATGCAAAGCAAGTATATATGTATATATTTTATTTTTATTTTCCTAAAAACTTTATTTTTGGTTTTTTAACTAGAAATTTAATAATTTCTTCCATTTATCTATTCGTGCAGGAGATACTAAAGAATGAAAAGCATAGAGAAGACATAAAAATAAAAAGCAAAAATTTTTATGAAAGCGAAAAACTCCCTAGTGAAGAGACCAAGGAGGAAGTCTTGCCTCCACCAGTTCAGACTCAAATTAAAGGGCATGCCTCTGCTCCGTACTTTGGAAAGGAAGACCCCTCAGTGGCTCCCAGCAGCACTGGTAAAACCTTTCAGCCAGGATCCTGGGCACCCCAAGATGCCAAGCACCACAATCAATGACTGCATTATGGTCAAATAATTTCATTTATATGGATGCGACTATTTTAACAAATAAAAGTAAAAGTTAATTACTTTGTGTTTTCTGAATGCACAAATGTTTTCTATTCCACTAAGCATAAAAGTTCATTTTTAGTATGCATAAGAATTGTGAGATTATGAACTAAAGAAGCCTAACTTATTTTCTACTTAAATCATTAGATTTAGTCAAGCCAGGACAGTGGCTCACGCCTGTAATCCTAGCACTTTTGGAAGCTGAGGCAGGAGGATTGCTTGAGGCCAGTTTGAGACCAGCCTGAGCAACACAGCAAGACCCGGTCTGTAATTTTAAAAAAAAATGATTTAATCATTTTTGTTTATGAATTTGCTTAGGTTTTCCTCTTCTTGGATTACTCCCTTGAGAAGTGTCATGTAGCTGTGAATGTTCCAGCACATTTTTGATCCTTATGATCATTTGGGAACCACCCACAGATATAACTTGGTAGAAATAATAAAGGCAAATAGTTCTCTCAAGTGGTAAAATATAAAAAAAATAAGAATAAAAAGATTCTAATATCTGGAGAGGTAACCTGTAAGATTCTAAAGGACTAATCAAAGACTTATGAACTTGGAGAAAACGTGGGGGCAAAGAAAATTTAGTTGATAAATGAAGGAAAAAAAAACCAAGCTTAAAGACCTGGATGAGAAGATGGAATAAAAACTAGCTTATGGTGGGATTGTGGATGGAATTTGAAGAGAGGAATTGGGACCAACAGAAGCAGCCCGTTCATCACAAAAGTCTGAAAGGACAGTAAGAGAGAAATGGTACAATAACTGGAGTTTGATGATAGAAAATTATTTTGAAAAAGTGAAAAATAGGGGAGGGCTCTCAAAAAGCAGAAATGGATCGTACTGGTAGACATGATAATGTATATGTTAAAACACTGATTACATACAAAAGTATATTTAAAAGGTCATACATTTTCTGGAGTGCACAACCAAGTTTTCGTTATTTTAATATAGTTTGTCTCAATGCCTACAATATAATATGTGCTCAATAAATATTTACTGAATGAGTGACCTAAATTTTTATGTTCTGAATAATATAAGGAAATCCTTGGTTAAGTGTTGACAATGAATTCCTAAAAACACATAAATTATAATTTTTACTTAATAGCAGATAAAAATTTTAATTGTCTAACAAATGCTGTATAGAAAGTGATTAAATGTCAAAAATCACAACATACTTATTGAATAACAAAAAGCCCCTAGTTGATACCAACATTCCAGTCAGCCCTGCTAATAATAGGTTAAATATTTTATCATGTTACATTATTACAAAGTGACACTACCTTTTACCATAGAGGCAAGAGGAACTAGCCACTAGGGAATATAAAAGGAAGCACAGGCTGGGCGCCGGTGGCTGAAGCCAATAATCCCAGCACTTTGAAAGGTCAAAGCAAGAGGACTGCCTGAGCCCAGGGGTTCGTGACCAGCCTGGGCAACTTGGTGAAACCGCATCTCTACGATATATCAAAAAAATTAGCCAGGTGTGGCAGTGCGTGCCTATAAATCCAACTACTTGGAAGGCTGAGGTGGAAGGATCGCCTGAGCCCAGCAGGTCGACGCTGGGGTGGCCGTGAACGTGCCACTGCACTCCAGCTTGGGCGAGAGTGAGACTCTGACTCAAAAAAAAAAAGAAAGCAGCACAGTTTGTAGTATAATTGGATTATGAGGTTAAGATGTTCTTAAATCCTGGATTGTAGTATTCCTACTGCCAAATCCATATTAGCTTCTTAATTGCATTCTATATACACCTTTTTCAGATGTTTGCCTTATAGGATGTTTACAAATATCTTTAATATGGCAGAATGTACCTAAATTTTCATTGTTAATGGTTTTCATCTTAAAATAGCTAGCTACTCTAAACAGCAAGAGAAAGTCTTAGCCACGTCCATATAGGAAACTGCCTTATGTTAAAGTAAGGTGATACCCCCATCATTATTAATAGAGCATGTACTTCAAGGTGGTTTTTGACAGGGAAGAATGAAATTTGTAATAATCCGTCCACACTCCTTTCCTCCCAGGCTAACATCTCAGACGTTTAGGATGCCTGATTGCACTGTTAGGTGTTGTTTAAACAAAGTCATTTATCCTACATGAAAACTGAACTATAATCTTGGCCTAATTACGACGTGCCTTTCTAAGCAATTTTTTTTTTAATTTGGTTTTTAGGCCAGACACATACAAAGCAGAACTAGAATACTAAATATTAGCTTGTCCACCATATTTCATGTTATATTTTGGACATTTACAAGTTTATTGTGAAAATGTCTTTATTCATGTAATCCCAGCACTTTGGGAGGCTGAGCTGAGGGGATTGCCTGAGCCCACAGGTTCGAGAACAGCCTGGGCAACTTGGCGAGACCTCATCTCTACAATAAAATTTAAAAATTATCTGAGCATGGCAGCGCACGCCTGTAGTTCCAGCTACTTGGAAGACTGATGCGGAAGGATCACCTGAGCCCAGCAGGTCGACGCTGAGGTGGCCATGAGTGCTGCCGCACTCTAGATTCTAGCCTGGGCAACAGAGTGAGACTCCAACTCAAAAAAATAAAAATAAAGCTGTTCATGTTAACATAAAGAACATTGTATATACCTTAAGTACTTTCTCACAAGTAAAGCCTTCTTTCTTGTGCCTCTGCTATACATGCATATATAACACACTTTTGGTTTTTAACATTACACAAACTGAAAGTACAGAAAATGTTGACTGTTAGGGTTAATCATATAAATCTACCTTATGAGCTATGCCTTAGATATCTGAAGTTAACCAACAAAAAATGGAAGAAATCAACCTTTTCCATTTCTACTAACAGACTTCTGGCTGTCATTTATTTAATTAACCTTGAATCAATATCATTTTTTAATGCTATGTCATTATTTAAAACGTAACCTGAGTTTATTGAGACAAGGCTTTCTCAAATTTATGTTCTTTGGGGAAAGAAGCATAAAGGACAATCTGTGGTAGAAAGACTCCACAAAATCATGTAGAAAAGAAACTTGTCAAACTTGTACATGTTTCCCTAACTTTTGGTATTGGAGCAAGGAATTCCTTTTAACATGTTTGAGAAATGCAGAATTTGTCCTTAAATAAGTATTTCAGGCATAAAGTAAATCAAGAGTGAGTCTATAATCATTGCAAACATAAAAAACCCTTCCTTAATAGTACCAAATATCCTCCAACTTAGAACCATGTAAAATGTAAAGCTTCCTAAGCTTATTTTGTTTGCTTATTATAAAGAAATAAAAGTAAAAACTGTACACCTGTTTCAGGAATACCAACCATGCTGAAGTTTATCACATGGACACTATGGCTCAAATCCTGACACACAAACCTTTAATTTTTTTATAAAATGTTACAGGCTGCCTGAGGACAGCGTTTTCCCCCCAAAACCAGCCATAAAAAGGCAACTGATTGTATTTAGTTCTTAGAACTTCAGAAACAACATAATTAAATAGGTAGGCAATTTTTTTAAAGTACTCTAGATAACAGTAAATGAGATTCTTTCAACATTTTTGTTACAGTGAGGAAGATGGATTTTGGGGAGAATTCCAAACAGTATTTTCATTTTATGCTCCCCTTACCCCTTACACCCATACATACACAAATATTGTAAAAGCTTGATCTTACATGTACAAAAAGGTTCTATAAATGTTGGGAAAAGGTAAAGAAATAAACAGCATATATCAAACAAATACAAAATTGGTATGTGTTATGACTTGAATAGAAATCTAGAAAAACAGACTTGTAATTAAATACTTTAAATTGTTATAACCAGTAGATAATTAAGAATTACTACTATATCCTTTGCTTCAAAACTTTAAAATATGACCATAATCCATCAGAGCCAGTTTTATATAAGCACTTTTTCAGTTTTAATTTCAATAATATAAAAACTATATTCTAGACCACCTAAAGAACGAACTCATAACTAAGTATTGAATTATTTCATTGCCTAGAGTTGCAGTGTGTTGCTCACACTGACATCAAATAGAAACCAATAACCTAAAATAATAGCATTAAGTGTTGTGCAAACTGGTCCATAAACATTCACAGGGGTCCTTAGGTTCTCAAACTTGAGAACACTGTCATAAGATTTTAAATATATGTTCAGCTATAATTCTAACTTGCACATTTCTAACTCACATTGTTACCCCACCCAAAAAAAACCAATGCGAGACCTCTTTACAAAATTATCAAATTTATTTCAATATCTAGTTTCATTTTTAAATTAGAGCTGCTTGACAATTTTTTGTAACTTAAAATTCACTGTCAGGTGCAGAAAACAACAAGCTATTAAATACTGACAGTGAATAAAATTACTGGACCATGCATTTATAGTAAAAGCCATGCTTACTAGTAAAAAACTTCCAGTTATACTGCTTAACTTGAAAGAAACATCCTTTAACTTCTGATTATAGCACATTCTCTCATTCTCATTTTGACATAATTTATCCCTTCACTCAGTTACTACTGTGCCTCAACAAAATGTTCACCAATTTCCAGTCTTTCTTTCCATTTATGAAAACTTAACTTATTCTTTAAAAGAAATCTGAAATTTTAATTTTCACTTAGAACTTGTTTAATCACAATGTATTAGACATAACTACCACATGAATTAAAACAAAGAATGGAATAAAAATGAAAGTGGTGTCTATATAATCAGCAAATTATCTGATAAGACATTTTAACTATTTCACAGTTCTACTTAGCATAAAAATAAACTGGTTCCCAGGTATAACAGCGTTTGGCATTTTTACTGCAAGCTATAAATCATGTTACTCTTCTTAACAAATCATCTCTAAGAAAATGGCAGTGTTTGTAAGTACAAAACTGTTACATCCAATAAGTAGTATTCTACATAGTCAAGAAAAGAGAATTCTTTATAAAATTATGTCTTAAAAAATTCAAAATGCTTTTATAATTACCAGTTGTCTCAAAGGCTAAAATAAGAAAAATGTAGCAAGTAGAACTACTCATTAATATTTTGCTTTGAGAAAGCCAGAAATGATTCTATTCTAATAAGCAATAACGATAAAAGATATGATTAATATAATGTATCTCTTTTAAGAAAAAGCACACTTTCCACCTCAGAAAGGACAATTCTGACTTTAGCATTCTTAATTTTCTTTGTGCAGAACAAGACCACATTGTAAATAGGATTTATCTGAATAGAGTTCATGATCTAAAATCATTTTTCCCCACAGGATGTTGTCATTTCAGTACATAAATGACTAAATGGCAAAAAACTAAGTTAGTTATAAAGAATTTATATCACCAAAATTGCTAATTTACAATAACCTGCCAATAGATACCAACAAACTTCTACACCCAAGCCTAAAAGTTACTACAATATTGAGGTCAGAACTAACATGATTCTTTCGTTTGGTCAAATTTCACTTACTAAATAATACTGTCAAGAAATCCATTTAAGAAACCTTAGTAGGTCCTTCCAAAGCCGCATAATTTCCAAATTATTTTCCTCTGGTTACAGAGTCTGTTCATTCCTTCAATCCTTTTTTAGTCGTTTAGCTTTTGCAATATTTTCTTGACGTTTTTGTTTCTTCTTTTGCTCCTTCTCCTTGGCCTCAATCATTTTGGCCAATTTCCAAGACAGTACAGCACTTGCTAGGAACAGTGGAGTAAGAGCCAAAATAACTGTTGTAAGGAAGCCATACGGGTCCTTTGCAGCCCATTCCACAACATACTCAGCCCAACCCTTTATATCAAACATCTTCGTAGCAGTCTTAGGAAAACTGGAAGTGGGGGGTGGAGAAAAAAAGAGGAGAAAGACTGGTTAATCAAATTTTCAAGAAGTTTCATCATACACCTGGTCAACTCAGAATTCCAATAATTCAACCCGGACAACCAGCATCAAAGAAGTTACAGGAAATAAAAAGTAAAAACCTATGACTCTGTCATAAGGACTATTCATTCTCACATGCGTCCTATATTCAATGCAAACTTTATTTAGCAGCAGAATTTTATAAGAATCTTAAGTTTTCCACACTCATTCCAGGAAACAGCCGAATCCTGTTTGTCGTTTTTTGACATCTCCTTAGTACTACTAAGTACTAATTAACAAAAGTACAAGTCATCAACTTTGGTGTTTGGAAAGGACAAGCCACAGAGCAAGTGAAATGCTCTCAGAGAACTAGAGGTAATGGATGGCTATTTCCAAAGGGATAGAGAGGGTAAGGGAGTCATGGTGACATTCTCATATGCCAAGATATATAAGCAAAAAGTGATGTGCTGTTTTATGCCTTTTCAGCTTTGAGGACCCCTGTTGGAATAAACATAATTTAGTAAATGAAAAAAGTAGTCACAACAGGTGCCGTGCATTTTGTTCCTTTTTGAGTGCAAGGGAAGGCCATCTGGCAAATGAGGATGGTGTGACTTGAGTGACATTTTCTATTTTGCCCCAGAGGCTTTCATGTTTGTGTCAACCTCTATTCAAAGTGGAAAATAAGAATACCTGGGTAGGAATGGTTGTAAATACAGCCACCTACAATTTCAGAAGGGATTTTTAAAGGTCGCCTACCTTATGCTTGAGTAGAGTGATCTCTAACTTTGTCCTGGTATTAGTGAGCCAGTCACAGTTTCAGATGCCCCTTGGTTGTCTGTCTTTAGTTCTACTGTATACTTCTGGCAGAAGGCTTAAATTCTGTACAGTGGGTAAGTTAGAAAAAAACAAAGAAGAAGAAAAGGAAGCCACAACTTTCAGGATAACTGTAAAAAAGTTTTAAATGTAAAATTTCCATGTTGTCTATACACAACCTTCGTGACATGTAAAACTGCCTATCAATTATAGGCATTTAGTATCTGTTTCTTCATTTGACTTCACAACTGCAAATGCCCTGTGAGAAAATCCTAATTACTGGAAATCAAGTATTTTACTAAGTTACTTATTTCAGTAATAAACTCATTTATGAAGTTCATTAACATATGATAAGTTGGCTCACTGATGTTACACAACATACCCATTCCTAGATCTTATACTTTTCATGCTACAAATGTTGCCATCCACTTATGTATTGAATTAGGCAAAATATTACAAAAATCAAACATCTCACCTTACTCTCTAAAGGTTCTCTGGCCTATTATACAACTCGTGTCCTTCATTTAAAAATAAAATCGGAAGAGACAGCCAAAGCAAATTATGAATCATCCACAATCCCATCACCTCAGGAAAACTTACACCTTTCGACGGCTGCTTCATGTTTTCAGCAAAAATCATGTCTCTTATTTCCAGAAGACACACGAAAGTGCCTGAGACAAATATACTAGCCCGACTCCATGCGCCCTCACCCACAGGCGGAACTAGGTTCTACAGAGGTCGGCCTTTCTGCAGCTCCTCCAGCCTGGTAGTGAATAAACCGTGCAAGTTTCAGAAACTTGCAAAAGAACTCTTGTAGTAAAGCGGGAACCAAGGACGTGGTGGTCTACGGCAAAGTTTCAGCTATTAACACAAAGGCGAGATCGTCCGCAGGCCAACCATCGCCCTGCACTTCGACTCCGGACTCGAACACCCGCCGCCTCTCACACTTACAGGAAGAGGTACACCTCGACCGCGCAAAGGGGGTGGACCGGCTTGCTCTCCAGGCCAGACCCGCGTGGCGCCTGGAGCAGCAGCTGGCCATCCCCACTTCGTCCTTTGTCTTTCCCTCCCTCCTTGTTTCCCCTCCCGCTCACGCTTCCTTCCTTCCTTACCCTCACGGGCCGCAGGGCCACGGGGGCCGCGTTCTCTCCGCCCCTTGGCCTCAGGCAGCGCGGGGGGCGGGCGGGGCCCGCAGAGCCGGGGGTCTCGGGGAACCCGGGGCCAACCCCGCCACGCCTCGCGCCGCGGCCGCCTCCGCTGGGCACGGGGACAAACCTCGGCGGCGGCCACCACCAGCCTCCCCTACTTCCACCGGGGGCTCGGCGCTCACTTCCAACTCACCGCCAGACCGGAAGCAGGAAGGCGGAAGCCGCGGCCTTGCGCCCCGCCCCCTGGCCGGCCCCTGCCCCGAGTCGGGCGTGAGGAAGTCGAGGGGGCAGTTTCCGGTTGCGCCATCGCGGCCTGGGTCCCAGGACCTCTACCCAGAGGGCGCGGGAGGGTGGGGACCGAGAGGTTGGGGGGCAGCGCGGATATTTCCGGTGAGCTGCAGGTGAGGCACCGGGAAGGCGGCGGCACTGGGGCCCCTTCCCGGCCGGAGCCCGAGGCAGGCATCTCCAGCCGGGGAGAAGCGGGGGGCGAGGAGGCGCTGGGCGGCCTGAGGCCTGGAGGAGCGGGTTCCAAACTCTTAGGATCTTCTGCCTTTGCCCCCAAACTCTGTCGGGAAACAGCTCCTCCCGTCCCCTGCCGAAGCCGAACAGGTGGAGGGTCCCGGGTAGGTGAGGTCTTTGGCCGCGGGAAAACTCAGACCAACGAGCAGCGGCCCGAAAGGACTTTGGCCCGGAAACCGCCCAAAGTCAAGGTGAGGGTCACACAACGACCCCTGAAGGAATCTAGCTAGACCTTCTGGTTCACCTTCCACCCCATGCCTCCCTCTACTGCTGGTTGGACAACGGTGAAAAACAGGAGACAGCAGCAGCTGGGCCGTGATGGATTCACCGAACCTTGCTACCAAGGGGAAATGCAGCCATGCTGTGTGAAAACGGGTTTTTTGTTGTTTGTTTTTAATTTAAGAACCTAACTCATTTCACAAAAGAATGATCAATACTTGCCCAAAGTAAACTTGTTAAATAATTAAACTGTCAGGGCATAGAGTTCTCCTAGAGGTACTTGTTTTTTTCCATACACAAATAAAGGGATGCAAAAGTCAACAAGCAGAAAGGGTGAGTTAATATTGTCTTCTGATCTACAGGAACTGAAAGATTAGCTCTGGTTTGGTTTGTGACCAAATTTTGTAATTGCTTGCACTGAGCTGCTCTGTTTGACTACCTCTGGCAAATGTTGCAAGACCTCTTCGCTGTTGTGTGCCAAATAAAGCAGGTTTTTATTCTCGAAAGACTGTAAGAATGTTCTCTTTGAGGAGCAAGCTACAACATGTATAACTAGTTTAGTTATAACAACAATAACTATTATTTACCAGGGAACAGGCTTTTGTCAGATAATCTAACGATCTAAAATACTGTTTGTTGAGCATATGTTAATGTTTGTAATGTTGTATTGCCAGCAGTTTTCTTGCTCATTTTTACTTGAAAAGCTGGATGCTGGAAGATGGTTTCAAAACCTATGCTGCTTAGACAGTCTGTACCTGTAGCAGCCAGAAAAAGTAGACTCAATCACTGAACTGTGTGCACAGAAAACTTACTTGCTAAAGGTAGCTTTTTTTAAAGTTTGCCCAAGAAGTGAACCCAGGACAGGATCAGGATTTATTATTTTAACATCCACTCCAGAGGCCTAGGCGTATGTGTTGTAGTTTAATCATGGATAGACAGTTTTCTGTCTCCCAATGTTTGGTCTACTGCATCCCTGGATAGAAGCACAGGAGTCTTGGGCAGGAAGAAGGGGCACATGAAGAGGAAGCCTCTGTAGTGCTTTAGCTGTAATCTGATTTTACTGATCTGGCTTCTAGTTAGAGGGCAGGCTACAAGCCCGGGAGCAGCATAGAGGTTGCCACAGCAGAGCTTACTGCAATCTGTATTGCCTTAACAAAAGAAGGTGTTGAGATTGGTTCAGATATTGTGTACTGCCTTCTATATTAAGGAGTCTTAGCTTGTGAAGTCTTAATTTCACAAGTCTTGGCTCAGTGCTGATATATGTTTTTAAATCACTTAGAGCCTGTTTCCTCTTATGTATGTGGAAAACATACTAGGTGGTCCCTAGTGCACTTTCAGCTTTAAAATCTAAATTGGACTGGATGTGGCCATTTTTCTGACTTATGCTTCAAAAATAGTATAGAAGGGTATTTGGCAGAAACATCATTGCCAGTTTTTGTTTTGTTTTGTTTTGGTTTGGTTTGGGTTTTTTTGAGTTGGAGTCTCACACTGTCGCCCAGGCTGGAGTGCAGTGGCACACTCATGGCCACCACAGCCTCGACCTGCTGGACTCAGGCCATCCTTCGACTTCAACTTCCAAGTAGTTGGGACTACAGGTATGCACCACCATGCCTGGCCAATTTTTTTATTTATTGTAGAAATGAGGTCACACCAAATTGTCCAGGCTGGTCTTGAACCCATGGGCTCAGGCAATCATCTCACCTTGGTCTCCCAAAGTGCTGGGATTATAGGCGTGAGCCACTGCACCCAGCCACCAGGTTTCTTAAGGTCTCATTCTTTATATGAGAGGATCCTTAATCAGGTTTTTAATTCTCTCTCAAATATCTGTCAGAATACAAATGTATTAAAATAACAAGAAAATATGTTTTATTTACTTTAAAGAAATGAAATGTAACTTTAACCAAATTAATTAAACTTTAACACTATCAGTTAGATAGGGCCTGCTTTTATATAAGAATAATCCTTGTGTAGTATATCATATTAACAGCCTGATCAGCACTAGTGTAGTCTGTTACAGTTATATTTGTAAATGAAGCCTTATAAAAATCCTATTTTTTTCTCTTGAGATGGAAAGCAAAATGTGCTTTTTTTTTTTTTGCTTAAAAAGTATTTTTTCCTTGGTTGATACAAAGTTACATTTTCCTCAAATCCATATCAAAATTGTGAATGAGTAAAATCTGGAAAGATTCAGATAATATTATTGTAAAATATAATTTATGACCGGGCTTGATGGCTCAGCCTGTAATCCCAGCACTTTGGGAAGCCAAGGTGAGTGGATTGCCTGAGCCCGTGGGTTCGAGACCAGGCCTGGGCAACTTGGCGAGAACTTGTCTCTACAATAAATCAAAAATTAGTCGCGCATGGTAGCATGCACCTGCAGTTCCAGCTACTTGGAATGCTAAGGCGGAAGGATTGCCTAAGCCCAGCGGGTCGATGCTGGGGTGGCCTGACCCTGCTGCTGCACTCTAGCCTGGGAGACAGAGTGAGACTCACTCAGAAACAAAAAAAATAGAGCAGAATTTTAAACACATCTGGCCAAAATCTCTGCTCTTTTTTAACCCTTTGAACTCAGAGACTTGTTGCAGCTCACCTACCAGCAACTCAACCGCACTTTTTTATGAAATAGTGAAAAACGAATAACTTCATATTAAATAGTATAGTGCTGGAACCACTTATTTTATTGTAATGATATTTGGCTTATAATGGAATTTTGGACGTTGAGAAACTTAGTTATGACAAAAAAATCAAAATTTTATCTCATTTTTCTAACATATTCTAATGTGTGAAACAGTCAACAACATGCATTGCAAGTTCATGAATACATGTTGTGCATATAGTATCTTGTCTGACATCTTTCTGTCTTCCACCTGGTGTTTTTCTATTGAAGCAGACAGTGCAAACTCGTTTTCTTTCTCCCACATTAATGATATGCAGTTTACTGTTGAGTATGTTGTTCGAAGATGAGGAAGGACAAGGACATACTCTGATTCCTGAAAACCACTTCATAACTAATCAATCGTGTCCCAGTATATTCCATCTCTTCACCTACTTTTTCGTGCAATTTGAATGAAATGTTTTAAGGAAACGTGCATTTTTGAAAAGTTTGTGCTTGCATAAGTTGTCCTGTATAATCACCAACAGTCTCTTTTATGTCCCCTGAGAGGGGACATCAGAGTGATTTGTTAGATTCACGATGTCTCCTCAGAGGGGACATCTGAGTGCAAAGGGTTAATATCCAAAGACTTGACCAAAAAAAAAAAAAAAAATGCTGATCTCATAAAATGATGCTTTTTGATTCTATAAATGATAATAACAACTAAAAACCCTTCACACTTCAAAATTGCCTATTGTCCAGGTGGTGGCAGCATGTCTCAAAGAGCTAGTGTGCTGGAGGTTTTCTCCTTGCCAGTTAATTTGCTTTTTCACCTCATGTACATGCTGTATCAA